AAAAAATGAAACTAGAGCACCAATTTACATCATACACAAGAATAAACTGAAAATGGACAAAATATTTAAATGTAAATTGTGAAACCATAAAAATTCTTGAAGAAAACATAAATAGCAAAATATCAGACATCTAACATAGAAAAATTTTAACTGGTACAATGCCCAGCACAAGAGAATCAAAGGAAAAAATAAACAAATGGGACTACACCAAAATATGAAGCTTCTGCACAGCAAATGAAAACCGTATCAAAATGAAAAGGGAACTGACTGTATGGGAGAACATGTTTGCCAATGATACATCTGATAAGGGATAACTATTGGAAAATATATAAAGTACTCATACAAATCAACAAAAGTAAAACAAACAACCCACTTAAAAAATTGGCAAAAGACCTAAATACACACTTCTCCAAAGCAGACATACAAATGACCAAGAAACATATGGAAAAATGCTTGTCACTAATCATCAGGGAGATGCAAATTAAAATGATGAGGTACTACTTTACACCTGTCAGAATGGCTACTATAAATAAATTAACAAACAACAAATGTTGTCAAGGATGTGGAGAAAAAGGAACCCTAATACACTGCTGGTGGAAATGCAGACTGGTAGAGCCACTATGGAAATTAGTGTGCAGTCTCCTCAAAAACTTAAATATGGAACTGCCATTTGACCCAGTGATCCCACTTCTAGGAATATATCCTAAGAAACCTGAAACATCAATCAGAATGAACATATGTGCCCCTATGTTCATAGTAGCGCTATTTACAATAGCTAAAATATGGAAACAGCTCAAGTGCCCATCAGTAGATGAGTGAGTAGAAAAGCTGTGGTATATTTACACCATGGAATACTATGCAACAGTAAAAAAAAAAAAAAAGGATCTCTTACCCTTTGCGACAGCATGTATGGACCAGCATAGTATTATGCTAAGCAAAATAAGCCAGTCAGAGAAAGACAAGTATCATATGATCTCACTCATATGTGGAATCTAATGAACAAACTAAACTGCTGAACAAAATAGATCCAGAGACATAGGAACATGGAACACATTGTCAAATTTTATTTTTATTTATTTATTTTTTTAATTAAATCTTTATTGTTCAGATTATTACAGTTGTTCCTCTTTTTTCCCCCCATCGTTCCCCTCCACCCAGATCCCACCCCAACCCTCTGTCCTTACCTCCCCTCCCACTGTCCTCATTCATAGGTGTATGATTTTTGTCCACACCCTTGCATCCCCCACACCCCTCCCCTTGGAGAAGAGTCAGTCCACTCCCTTTCTATGCCCCTAATTCTATTATAATCACCAGTTTATTCTGTTCATCAGATTATTCATTCACTTGATTTTTAGATTCACTTGTTGATAGATGTGTATTTGTTGTTCATAATTTGTATCTGTACCTTTTCCTTCTTCTTTCTCTTCTTAAAGGATACCTTTCAGCATTTCATTTAATACTGGTTTGGTGGTGATGAACTCCTTCAGCTTTTCCTGATCTGTGAAGCTCTTTATCTCACCTTCAATTCTGAATGATAGCTTTGCTGGATAATGTAATCTTGGTTGTAGGTTCTTGGTATTCATCACTTTGAATATTTCTTGCCACTCCCTTCTGGCCTGCATAGTTTCTGTTGAGAAATCAGCTGACAGTCGTATGGGTACTCCCTTGTAGGTAACTGAGTTTCTTTCTCTTGCTGCTTTTAAGATTCTCTCTTTGTCTTTTGCTCTTGGCATTTTAATTATGATATATCTTGATGTGGTCCTCTTTGGATTCCTTTTGTTTGGGGTTCTCTGCGCTTCCTGGACTTGGAAGTCTATTTCTTTCACCAGGTAGGGGAAGTTTTCTGTCATTATTTCTTCAAATAGGTTTTCAATATCTTGCTCTCTCTCTTCTTCTGGCACCCCTATAATTCAGATGTCGGTATGCTTGAAGTTGTCCCAGAGGCTCCTTACACTATCTTCATATTTTTGGATTCTTTTCTCTTTTTGCTTTTCCAGTTGGGTGTTTTCTGCTTCTTCGTATTTCAGATCTTTGACTTGATTCTTGCGATCCTCTAGTCTGCTGTTGGAAGTCTGTATAATATTCTTTATTTCAGTCAGTGTATGCTTAACTTCTAGTTGGTTCTTTTTCACAACCTCGAGGGTCTCACTAGACTTATTGAGGATCTCATTACATTTATCAGCGGTCTCACTAGATTTCTTGAGTGTCTCACTAAGTTTATTGGCGGTTTTTAAAAAAATTCTTGAAAAACCTTAAAAGTGTGTTTTTGAACTCTATATCCAGTAGTTTGTTTTCCTCCATTTCTGTCATTTGTGACCTGTTTCTTTGTCTCCGCATTTTTTATGGTTCCCTGTGTTGATAGAGTGGCTTTCTGTGCTAGGTGTCCTATAGGGCCCAGTGGCTCAGCCTCCCCAGTTACCTGAGGGGGACACTCTTGGTGCATCCCCTTGTGGGCTTTGTGCACAGTCTTGTTGTAGTTAAGCCTTGATTGTTGCAGGTTTCACTGGGAGGAATTGACCTCCAGGTCAATTGGCTGTGAGAATCAGCTGTGTCTGCAGTGGGAGAACTTCTTTGCTGGAGACACCCTTATGAGGCAAGACTTGCTTCAGTGGGGCTTTGGTGCTCACTGAGTCTGCCCCCTGAGTGTGTCCCTTATGGATCTGAGGAGTTGTAATCTGGATGGTCCCACTCTGACCACTGGGTACACTGGCTCTTGGATCACTAAGGAAGTGCTAATTTAGCCTCTGCCTCAGGCTACCCAGAGGGAGCTCAGCTTTGAAGGAATGCAAGCTGCTGTGGGGCCTTTGGCCTTCTTTTGGAAGTTCTGGGTCTCTCTGACCCAGCTGCAGTTTGTTAGGCAATTTTCAGATTGTAAAGGGCCACTCCTTTCATATGCAAAAGCCAGCACACAGCTTGGGCAGGGAGGGGTCCCAGGGATCAACAAGCTGGAGCATGCAGCTATGGCTGATCCTCAGTCCTTTCCTAAGAGGCTCCGCTTCTCAGTGTCCCAGTAATCACTGCAAGCACCTCTGAGAGAAAGCTTCCCTCGAGGTCTGACCGATGCCAGGCAGTCTAGCCTCTCCCCGTATGAATCTGGGTCCCCAGAGACTCGCCTGGAACTGGAGTTCAGTGCAGTCGGGAGCTTGAGACTCCCTCCCAACTGAAAAAGACAACAGTGTCCTCAGCCACCAGCCCTTTCTGTGTGTACCTCCTCTGAGTCTCGGTATGCTTTTCTCTTTCCTTCTAGTTGTAGAATTTCACTCAGCCAGTCTTCCTGGGGTTCTGGATGATGTCTGTTTTATCTTTTAGTTGTATTTTTAAGTGGTTGTGCGAGGCAGCAATTTCCTGTTTTTACCTATGCCGCCATCTTGGTTTCTCCCATATTGTCAAATTTTAGAGGGAAGGAGTGGGTCAGTGGGTCAGTGGGAAGAGATGGACCAAAGAACTTGTATACATATATATGCATAGCCCATGGACATATACAATCATGTAGTGAAGGCCAGGGTTGGGAGGGGCGGGGGTGAGAGGCGAGGAGGCTACATGGGGTTAATGGGGAAAAACAAAGGGACATATATAATAATTTCAACAATAAAGATTAAAAATAAAAAAGAATAAGAAAGCCAGACTAGGTTGTTCCAGTTAGAAGAGTTAGCAAGTGTGGAGGCCCAATGTAAGACAAAACTAGTTGCCTTTGAGGAATTGGTCGAAGCCAGTGCACCCAAAACTCAGTGAGAGAAAAAGAGAGAGAGTTAAAAAGAGAGAAAATGACCTAAGTCTTCACTTGACTCCACTTTTTTTCATTTGCTCTCATGACCACTAATGGACATGTCATATAGAATTGTCCCACATCTGATTTAAACTCAAAAACTTTAGAAATCCAATATGGCTATGGCTGCCTAAGTCAGTGTGTTACTCTTCTTTGCTTGGAAATAAAGCACCAGCATAAAAAGAAACAAATAAAAATAAAACTGTAAACCCCATACTTTAAAATAGGTGCAAAGGCTGCTAAAATAAGCTATGATCACATAGCAGCCATGTTAGAGAGAGTGAAGAGAGGTGTGGAGAATGAAGACCATGCATTGGAAATAGCAGGAAGCACTAGCAAAAATATCCTTACTGAGCATGAGAGGCATACCTTGGAGATCAAAAGCTACAAGCTTTTTTCTAACAAATTGTTCAGCAACTGAGGTGTACATCCTAGACCTACTTTTGTTTAGAGCAGTGATGGCGAACCTTTTGAGCTCGGTGTGCCAGCATTTTGAAAAACCCTAACTTAACTCTGGTGCCGTGTCACATACAGAAATTTTTTGATATGTGCAACCATAGTAAAACAAAGAACTATATTTTTGATATTTATTTTATATATTTAAATGCCATTTAACAAAGAGAAATCAACCAAAAAAATGAGTTAGCGTGTCACCTCTGACACGCGTGTCATAGGTTCACCATCACTGGTTTAGAGAGGCAGAGGGCATGGGATATGCAAATGTTCACACAGGAGCCATGTTGGTAGGAAAAAGCCTGTCTCTGTGGCAGCAGCTGATGTGAGAATCAGCTCTTCTAGAAGCTACACTAGCCTCCCTGACTCAAGAAACTTTTGGAAACAGCTGGCCCAGGAAAATTCAATGCATGTAATAAGGAGTAAGTCAGTAAGAGTATTATGGGCACTTCAGCACAGCAACAGTACAAATATTATACATTGAAAAAGAAGAAAGATAATAAAAATTTACTAGAAAAATGCTTCCACAGACTAGATGAATACTGCAGCCAAACATTTTATCATGAATTTAAAACCTAATATGGTATAATGCAGTGATGGCGAACCTATGATACGTGTGTCAGAGGTGACATGAGAACTCATTTTTTTGGTTGATTTTTCTTTGTTAAATGGCATTTAAATATATAGAATAAATGTCAAAAGTATAAATCTTTGTTTTACTATGGTTGCAAATATAAAAAAATTTCTATATGTGACACGGCACCAGAGTTAAGTTAGGATTTTTCAAAATGCTTGCATGCCGAGCTCAAAAGGTTCGCCATCATTGGTATAATGGCATCTATGAATTAATACCACAAGATAAAAATACTAAAATTTAAGAAAACTGTGGAAAGACAACAGAAATCAGGAAGGACGTGAAATACATATATACAGCAAGCTATATTAAAATCACAACTGCATGTCGACAGGAAGCTGACCTGGGATTAGGCTCATAGTATTTTTTGCAACTTGTCATCTAGGTAGAGAGAGAATCCAGTATGGGGTGGGAGGGGGTTGAGGAAAAATATTATAAATGAGACACAGGAGTGACTGCCCTTTTGGGGACTAGTAGGAAAAAGTGTGAAAGTGGTTTTTGTTGAAGAGCGATATGGTTTGGATGTTTGTGCCCCCTCAAAATTTGTATGTTACAATTCCAATGCCCAATGTGAAGTCCTAGGCTCATGAATGAGATTAGTGTCCTTATAAAAAGTCTCACCCCTACACCCTTGAGCTCCCTATGCCTTCTACCATGTGAAGACACATAGAGGGGTTGGCTGTTACAACCTGGAAGAGGACTTTTACTAGAACCTGACTATGCTGACACCCTGATCTTGAACTTCAAGCCTCCAGAACTGTGAGAAATAAATATTTGTCATTTATAAGCCATACAGTCTGTGGTATTTTGTTATACCAGCCTGAATGGACTGAAGAGGATGGTCCTGTTCATGGACAGGAACCTTTGGTCAGAAAAGGATGGGAGAAGGTAGAAACATAGAAGGGAAGTTGGCTCCTGCAAGGAGAATGGTGTGGATGTGATGAAAACACCAGAAACAAGCTTATATGCTTAGAGCTGCCACCACCATGGACTGTGAGCATCAAACTGACTTTGTGGGGGCACAGTGAGGGGAGAGAGAAAACTGACCTGCTATGGACAATTGTTCTTTCTTTTTCTGATCCAGTTCTGGGTTCCAGATAGAGCATGTCAGATTCTTCTGAGAAGTTTCTCTGAGTAACAGTGATGTTGTTACATGGAACAAACCACCTTTATCCTGGGTGTGAATCTCAGTCTCAGCTGGAATTTCTCCTCCCTCAGAGTCCGTCCACTGGACCTTTGGCTGAGGGAACCAGCCCTCTGACTTGCACTTTAATCGGAGTTGTCCGAACTTAGTGACTTCCACAAGTAACTGAGGATGTGAGCCGATAGCTGGCAAGAGGAAGAGAGAGAAGTCAGGTCCTAAGCTTATTTTTCAGTACATATATCCCTCTCGTTCTTATGAAGAGTTTGTGCTGCTGACTAGACCTCAATGTGCAGAACAGGAAAGTGAGGCTCTGAAGAAGTCTTGGCAACACAGTAGCGGGACCTAGACTCCTGGGTGAGAGGGGAGTCCATCACAGTGTAACACAAATGGCCCCTGCCTATTTCTTGACTCCCACTATGAGTCTCTTTATTTTTTAATTCAGCCCCCAGCAGTGATATATGGAATAATGGGGTGAGTAGATGTAAAGGCCATCTCCCTTTCTCCTGTGAGTTTTTAAATATTTCCCAGGAAAACTGGATCAATGCCCTAAACTTACCCCTGGGGGTGAAAGTCGGCAATTACCTGCCACTTTAAGCTCAATCATTGTATCACTGTAGAAGAAGCCATTTTGGATCACACAGTGATATTGTCCATTGTCAGAGGGTTGAATAGTGAGGATTCTCAGGACCACGATCCCCTTATGCATGACATTTTCCACAAGCGTTGTCCTCTTAAAATACTCCTCCATGGCTTCCTCAGGCTTGTCCCTCCCATCCTCATACAGGTGCACCACCTGGGAGGGTAGGAATCTGGTCCATCTTATATCCATATTTTTAATATTTTGAGGAGGCAAGAGGAAGCAGGGCAGCTCAGCATCACCACCCAGCATGGCCACCATGGGTTTATGGGGCCCCTGGACTTGGAATGCTCCTGAAAAGAGAACAGAGATGGAGTCAGGGTTGAAGGAGGTGGATTTGGGCAGATGAGGTGGTGTTGACTACATTATTGGTTGTTTCCATCCTAACCAAGTCCTGAGAACAATGTCTGAAATAGTTGCTGGATCTTTTCTGACATAAAAACACCCCCCCCACACACACACACATACACACACACATACACACACACACACACACACACACTCACCAGGATGCCTAGACCAGGAAATACAAATGAAATGCCTAGTATACTGGGTGGCACTTAGTAAGTAGATAAAGTTAACCCCTCTACTTTTTGCCAGGATCTCATAACATTTGTATTTATGTCAAACTTTTTCTTCCAGCTCCCTTCTCTCTTTTCCTTTTTCCTTTCCCTGACATAACAGAGAATCTGGGACTCATGTAAGGATTCCTACCTGCACCCATTATGAGCATCTGGAGGCAGAGGTTGAGTGAGATGAGGCTGCCACAATGAATTGGAGAGACTTGCTGCCTCCTCAGGTGACTGAGGCAGGGTGAGCCCAAGGCGTTGTGCTGATGGTTCATTGGAAAAGGAGGGAAACACTGTAATGAGGAGAGAGATAAAAAGAGATCTCTGAGACTTAAGTCAAGAGGAAGAGAAAGGAGGGAATGAAGAAATCTCACTCCTAGGCAGGTATTGGGCACATCTTATCTATGGGACTATGGTGAGGATCAGAGTAAGATTCTTGCTCCTTTTTCTACAAATTTTGGGACCCTTGATTTTCAGGACTACTCAGGGCACTCACACTTCCAGTCTCTCTGTTCCTTATGCATTTCTGTCTGCTCCCACTCAGCCTCCTTCGCTGGCTTCTCTTCCTCACCCCACAGCTTAACTGCTCCTCCCCCAGGGCCCTGTCCTGGATCCTTTTTTTTTTTTAAAAAAAAAATCTCACTTTATATATTCTCCCTATGAGATTATTTGTAATGTAATGGCTCCAGCTATCTTCTACATGCTGATGACTCACTCCCACATGTATATCTTCTGTACATAATGTCTTGATCCATGGTCAGGACCCTGTTTCTAGAGGAACCAGGAGCTTAGGGGCCCCTCTGCCTTAGACCAACAGAAAAAGCAGGTGGCTTCTGTACTTTCCAGCATCACTCCCTCCGAGCCTGGCCAAGTAAGGCTTCTGGTGCCCTTTTTCAAAAGATGTAAATTAGTAGTGGAAGTGAGGCAGAGGCTGTAACACCTCAACAACCAGTACAATTTGGTGACCATGTCTGTGAAGTTTGCTGCCCAGGGCCAAGGGCTCAGAGATCTTGCTGCTCAGAGAGTGTCTCGGAAAGGTTGGCCCAAAGCATGGATGGGAAGACATCCCAAAGGCCATGTTCTCTCTAGGCAGAGGAGAAATGTACTTTATATGTGGGGGAATGGATCCTGAGCTGGTAGAGGCATGTGGTATATAATTGTGCAGGGTCTTAAGGACCATGGGAGCAACTGCAGAGATGGAGCATATATTACCTCTCCATGGACTAGGCAGCACTTCTCAACCTTTTTCATGTCGTGGCACACAGAGAACATGATGTTATTTGTTGGGCACACTGTAGTAAACTGCAAGAGGATTAGGCTATATGGGCTTCATGGGGGAAAATGACATTTTCTCTATATTATACAATTATATAAGGAAAATGTAATAGAAATTTAAACAAATATGTTAAATACTAGTGGCCCGGTGCACAAAATTTGTTCACATTAAAAGGGAATTAATTAGAGGAACTATTTTAATATTGCTATTTGCCCTTTCTCTATAATAGAAGTGTCAGAGATGAAAGAAAATTAGTAAAATGTATATTGAAATCTCCCTCCTGTCAGAGTCTGGGGCATGCCATGGGACCCAGAGTCAAGTCCCTGCCCACCTGCATGTGCCTTGAAATTGCGCGAGACCCAGACCCAGCCAGCCCTACCCCTATCAAGCCCTGCAGGATAGGGGGAACAGCCCCAGGTCCCCTGGTCCAGTGCTGGGTGGTGGTCGCATCCTCAGGTACTCAGGCTAGGCACCAGGGTGGCAGGTGCAACCTCAGATCCTGCAGCCCAGCCTCAGGTTCCCTTGCCCTTGTGCGAGGGCGTGAGGGTGCAAGGGTGAGAGGGTGGAAGGGTGTGATGACTATTTGCATATTAGTTCTTTATTATATAGGATATCTTTAGAAGGAATACACATAAAATCTTAAATTTTTATAATTTTTAAAGTTGCTTGAATTCTGATTATATACTTGATTTCTGATTATATACTTGTTGATTTCTGATTATAGACTTGAAATGACTACAGATAATTATCAATGTGCAATTATAATTATCAATGATGATCCCTTCAATTTCTTTTTTTAAGATTTTAAAAAACTTGATTTCAGAGAAGAAATGAGAGACAGATAGAAACATCGATGGTGAGAAAGAATCATTCATTGACTGCCTCTTGCATGCCCCACCCCCCACCCCTCCCCAGGGATCAAGCCCACAACCAAGGCATGCACCCTGACTGGGAATTGAACTTGACCTCCTGGTTTATAGGTCAATGCTCAACCACTGAGCAACACTGTTGGGGCTTGAATTTCATTATAGTCACCATTGGTGAGCTAGTTCACTTGCATAAGTAGGCAATATGAATTTTTAAATCTTTTAAAATTTAATTCATTTAAATTATACTTAAAGAACCTCACAGCTCCTTCTTTTCTTTCATTCATAAATGTAATGTTGAAATGTCTTGTAAAAATTGGAATGGATTTAAAATTCAATTGAAGTATTACTTTGGAGTAAAAATAAGAGTTTTACTTTGTAGAATGTGCATGCAATGTTATGATAATCACTATGCAACTAGTTTTCATGTATCTACGCATATAGATTTTTAAAAAAAACCATTCGATTTAATTAAGACAGAGTTTGGGTGTTGCTGCTTTGAGCTCTACCAGGAACTCCTCCCTGGCCTCCAATCTGCCCCAGGTAGGATCACATATGGGCTCCTTTTGCAGCTGCACTTTGAACTCTTCCTGTTGTTCTATGGGGTCCTTTTCCTGAAGGGCAGCATTCAGTGCAGTTGGCTGAAGACTAAATCTAGGCAGTAGATCAAGCAGAGTGTGTAGTCACTATCACCAAACAGAGGTTGACAGAAGGTCCTCTTCCCATTTGCTATTCATCTTGCAAAGCCATCTGAAGGATGAAACTGGTGGGAAATTGGTATAAAGACATGTTTAAAGATGAAGCTTGAAGGCCTACTGGTATCTGTACTGGTACATGGTACCTTCAGCTAAGTCAACTAAGTGAAGTCCTGTTTCCTTGATAATGGCATTAATATGAAAGTGTAGGAAATGACAGGTTAGGGACAAAATTTTGTGGCAACTATCTCATGTGGGCAAGAGAAAGTTATTGTGCCCCCTTCCCCTACCAGGGCAGAGCCTGCTTCCCACCAATGGCAGGGAGGAGACACTGTGGAAATAATGTGGAGACCTAAGAATCTGTTGAGAGACCTGATAGAGAAAAGTGGGGAGGATCTTAGCAAAGAGTTCCAGGCTGTTAGTGCCAAGCTCTTCACAGAGCTGTCTTGACCAAAATTTCTTTATAGAAACTCACTGCAAAATTAAAGAGCCCAGTACAACTTTTCCAATAGTTCCCTTGTACTTCTGCCACACCACACATGATGTATTTATGGTGGAAACAAAGGAAATGGTTTTGAAAAAAAGGAAAGCAGGAACAAGACTTCCTGTTCTATGAAGACTCAGGGGGACCTGGAGGATGATGTGGCCGTTAGGGTCCCACTAGGCAAATCTCAAGTGGCAGCATCCCAGCTCTAGTTATGGGCCCTTACTTTCTAATAGCAGGTGTTTAGAGTATTTTGCCAGCTGCCAATCACACTTTGCTGGAGCAGTGTGATGTTCCTGGTAAATTTCATCAGAGACTTCACTTGCTCCACCATGGCTACCTCCTCAGGCGACACTGAAATAACCAGCTAGTGATTTCATTTTAGGTTTACTCACCCTTCAGTATTTGTAACTTTCTTCTCTGAAAGTGAGAATCCTGGCTCTTGAACCTTAATATATTTATATTTTTAATAAACCCCTGTGTGTGAGGCCAAGTTCTCACCTCTGTTTACATGCTTTCTCCTACATGGATGCCCCCCTCAACCCTCTCCAGCACTATGCTGGGCACTCCCTCCACATGGATGTCTCCTTACCTTGTGTGGGCTCTGTCATGTGGTCGGCAAACTGTGGCTCACGAACTACATGTGGCTCTTTGTCCCCTGGAGTGTGGCTCTTCCACAAAATACCGACTTCTGCGCATGGGCCACGAAGTTTCAATTGCACTGTACATGCACGCCTGCACGTGGTATTTTGTGGAAGAGCCACATTCAAGGGGCCAAAGAGCAGCATGTGGCTCGCAAGTTGCAGTTTGCTGACCACAGTCCTAACCCATTCCTCACTGTGCTCCGGCTCTGACACTCATTGGAGAGCTTCCTCCCCCCATGGACTTTCTCCTCCCCCATGGACTTTCTCCTCCCCCATGGACTTTCTCCTCCCCCATGGACTTTCTCCTCCCCCATGTCAGGTTGCCCCCATGGGCTGGTATCCCTTCACCCCTCAGAGGGCTTTGATCTCTTGTTGTGGGTCACCTCAGTTCCCCTTCTACCAGCACATCCTGTCCTCACTGCACTGCCAGAACAAATGTTGACTTTACTCTGCCTTATCCAAACAGTTTAAGATTGGGTTGTTCAAGAAGGGAAGGGAAAGAAAGGTAAAGAGAAAGAGGGAAGGAGGAGAGGAGGGAAAGGCTATCCCTTTTTTTATTATTATTATTTAGGTATTATAAATAGTAGTACATATGTCTCCTTTATTTTCCACATTGACCTTCCCCCGGCCTCCCCTAACCCCCTGGCACTTACCCTCATCCCTCACCCCCTGCAGTATCTTGAGTCTGTTGGTCATGTTTATATGCATGCATACAAGTCCTTCAGTTGATCTCTTGCATCCACCCAACCCTCCCCTCGTTTTTTAAAGTAAAGGAAATACAACTTTGAGAGATGGGATAGAAAATAAGCCTCTCCAACCATTTTTGAAGAGCCCATATGGGGTTTGAGGGTACACACATTCACCTGGTTCACACCACTCCTACTTGAGTATCTTGCAGTCTTTTTATACCCTCAGATGTATGTATACTGTATTTTGAAAACCACAGATTAATAATGGCATGCAAACACCTAGGAAGAGATTTCCTACCTCAGAATCCTGACAAACAGGCCCCCAAGACTTTTAGTTACCACAATTATTTGACCCTAGACCAGGGGTGGGCAAACTTTTTGACTTGAGGGCCACAATGGGTTCTTAAACTGGACCAGAGGGCCGGAACAAAAGCATGGATGGAGTGTTTGTGTGAACTAATATAAATTCAAAGTAAACATCATTACATAAAAGGGTACGGTCTTTTTTTTTTTTAGTTTTATTCATTTCAAACGGGCCCACGGCTGCCCTAGACCCCAACCTCTACAATTCTACTCCCCTTCCCTCCTTCTGTCCTCTTTCATCCCACTTTCCGGTGAAGAAGCACAGCTCTCTCCATCCACACCTCCTCTGTGCAGGAGAACCTTTCACAGAACACTAACTTGGTCCTTTCTTCAAACTGCCTCCTCTTCCAACTTTGAGACTGACCCCCTCCATAGGCAGGGGCTCCAGACTTACCTCTGCCTCTGCTGTGGGCTGGGTCTCCAATCATCTGTGGTAGGTCTGGTTAGAGACGTTTCTCTCAGGAGCTCAGGGTTGGGAGCTGAGGTGGTCTGGGTTAGAGGAAGGATGTCCAGAGGTATTGAAAGGGGAGGAACTTCATGAAAATGAGGTACATTCTTTGATGGCCTTTGGACTTGTACTGGGACTGTGTGTTTGGCATAGAGAGGAATAAAGCACTGCTTTTCACAAACCAATGTTATGAGGGCTTTCTATCTCTCTTCTTTAGAGTATGAAACTGATCACCAGTTATGTATCTTGGTAAATTTCATGAACATAAAGAGCATAGAACTAAGAAGATTTTTGGCCTATAAATTAATTGTTAACATAATCAAGTTTAAACAAAGAGCATATAACTAGGAAGATTGGTTACCTGTAAATTAATGACTAAAATCAACAACTAAATTTGAAACACTGGCACTCACACCAGTTTCCTTGATCATGTTCCACATCTACTTTCATACGTTTTCTTTCTTCTCAAACCCCATACCTCACGGCTAGTCTTCTCAGCTGCCTCATTTTCATTGACACAAAGAAGCAATCAAATCTTTATATCTATACTTACTCACTGCAAACAAAGCCCAATTTCATCTGTGTATAATTTCTCCTTTTCTGTGTTAATGGGGAAAATAGGTTTCTATCTCCATGTCCTAGGCCTCCCAATCAATTTTTGAACAAATAAATTGTATATTAAATCCCGTTCTCCTTGAGCTCTCCAGAGATGTTTCTATTTCCTATATTTTATGCTGACTGATACACTAAAGCCCCAGTTTTCTCATCTGATAAATGGGTTTAATAATAATACCTACAACATCTAGGAAAGATAGGTCCTTGCTTGGATCCCACATTTTGGAGGCCTAAGATATCATAACTACTTACAAAATTCATTTATTAACGAAAATGAAGACAGCACTGCCACTTGGTAATCTGTTCTCAGTACAAAGTGTCCCCTCAAGTATCCACTCTCATAATTAACACTATTCAGGCTCAGGGAAACATACCTCAATAGTTTTGTCCTATATCCTTAGAACTAAACTGTATCTGAATGAAGTAAAAGTTTGTGGTTTATAATGAGGTGGAGTTTTATTGTGTGTATTTTTTGTGACAATTTCAAATACAGTTTGATTTAATACATTGTGTTTTATCCTTACACTGCGGTGCCTAGAAAGGGCAAGTTTATTTCCTGCCCCTGTGCACATGTTCTATATGCAAGTATAGAGATTGCCAGATACTTACTATAGCAGCTCATCCTTAAAACTTCCATGGAATTTGGTGCAAATTTGGGTCTTTCAATGTTTTGTATGGAACAAAAACTAAGAGGTGGATCAGTTTGCCGTGACCCACCTCTTCATTGATGGGTCCAGGAGAAGGAACCACCAGATGGAGGAGCTCCGTCACTAGGGAAGCCCCAGGCATTCCTCCTGGCTTACCTCCTGCTCTGGGACAGCTTGGGAAGGATAGAGTTGCGGACTTTCTCCAGCTCTTTCTGCTGATGTTCAAATTCTTCCTTCTCTGCAGTCTGATTCTTATGAAACCAGTTGATGATTTCATTACATTTGTCAAGAATCATCTGTTTATCCTCATCACTGAGCTGAACTTGAAGTTTCTTATCTTCAGCATTTGCTTTTATGTTGATTGCCAACAATTTAAGTGAATTTTTGGAAGATGCCTTGTCCCACTGCTTCTCCTCTTTAGCTTTGTACTTCTCAGCTTCTTGGACCATATGTTCTCTGTCTTCGTTGCTCAGATGGGTCTTGTGGTTAGTGATGATAACCGTATTCTCTTTTCCTGTGCTTTTATCCCCAGCAAAGACTTTGAAGGTGCCATTGGTGTCAATATCAAAAGTGACTTCAATCTGAGGAACATCAGAGTACAGGTGATAGGTTTATGAGTTCAAACTTGCTAAGTAGATCATTATCCTTGGTTATGGTGCACTCGTCATCATAAACCTGAATGAGCACACCTGGCAGCTGGTCAGAGAAAATAGTGAAGGTCTGTGTCTGCTTCAAAGCCAATTTATGAGACTGGTAGTTCTTGTTTAGGAAGGCTATTCATTATTAATTCAATGTCTTCTTTTTTTAAAAATTGTTGATAGTATTACAGATGTCAACTATTTTACCTCTCTTTGTTCCCCTCCACCCAACCACCGCCCCACCCCAGCTTTCAGCACATTGTCTATGTCCATGGGCTATGCATACATAGGTATATATTTTTGTGTTATCTCTTCCAGTCCCTGTCATCTTTACCCCTCTGAGATCAGTCTGTTACATGTATCCATGCCTCTAGTCCTATTTTGTTTGTCCGTTTATTTTGGTTCATTAGATTCCATATGTTAGTGAGATCATGTGGTACTTACCTTTCCCTGAGTGGCTTATTTCACTCAGATCTTAGAATAATAATGACCAGGTCCCTCCATGCTGTCAAAAACCTTAAGAGTTCCTTTGTTTTTATAGCCATGTAGTGTTCCATTGTGTAAATGTCCCATAGCTTTTTAATCCACTCTTCTATTGATGAACACTTGGGCTGTTTCCAGATCTTGTCTACTGTAAATAAGGCTGCTATGAACAAGGGGTATATATATTCTTTCTTATTGGCGTTTGGTACTCTTAGGATATATATCCAGAAGTGGAATCATTGGGCAAAAGGCAGTTCCATTTTTAATTTTTTGAGGAAACTCCATACTGTTTTTTACAGTGGCTGTACCAGTCTACACTCCCACCAACAGTGCACTAGGGTTCCCTTTTCTTCACCTCATGGCCTACATTTGTTGTTTGTTGATTTATTGATAGTAGCCATTTGATAGGTGTGAGGTGATACCTCATTATAGTTTTAATTGGGTGAAGCTCAAGGTCTGACACTGGCAGTCGGCGATTGAACTGAAGTGGGTCTATGCACTGTGCCTATTCCTGGAACACTTGTTGCCTTTCCCTTTACCATTCTTACTGGACAATTTCTACTCTCTCTTCAGTCATCAGGTGCAATATTACCTAAAAAAAGGCCTATGTTGAGAAAAAGTGCCTAAAACATGGAAATGAGGCAAAAAAAAAAATCCCATGTCTTTTAAATATCATGCTCTTATATTATCTGAAAATAATCTGACTTAAGTAAATAAAACTTTATTATGCTTTTATTGACCTGTAGAAAATTAACTTAGAAGTCTTATTTTAGAGTTGTATTTTTTTTTACTGTTTTTGAGCCAATTTTGTTATCTGCTCTTTTTCTCACTTATGAGTTAATTAAAATTATGGCACTTGGTTTCTCTGTATTTTTATTATGATTTTTAAAAATTGAAAATTGCACTTTGATCTCTCCTCTTTGCCTTCCCATATCTATCTCTCCTTTGAGTTTTTAAGACATCCTCTGCTTGCTCCATACATTGTATTATAACTGAGTTTAATTCATTCAAAGACTATGCATTCGATTCCTCTTTGGTACCACATTCAATGATAAGTGTTAGTGATATCATGGTGAACAAAGCAGACATGGTCTAGCCCTCAAAGGTTTTTATCTTTTGTGTCACCTTTTTCTCCTACTAGAGTGTACATCCCATAAGTATAGACTATGTCTTAGCCATTGTATCATTCTCAGTGTTAAGCATTGTGTAAACCCACAAAAGTTGCTCAATAAGTATTTGTTGGATGAATGTGTGGATGAGTGTATAATGGTGGAAATATGGCATTCCTAGAAATATGACGCTAGTGTGTCAGGTGAACTGTTTTCTTGGACTGGAACTTATCTAAGGTGATACAGATATTGTAGTGGAGAGGCAGACTGTTACTCAGCCATAAGTAAGTGAAGAGAAATGACTGGCTTATGACAAAACCTTAAAAAACAAGAAGTATTTACATGATTTGAAAAGGAAACAGGGATACTTATTTTTCTCTGACTGGTTTATTTCACTCAGAATGACTAATGAACCAAATAAACTGGTGATCAAAAACAGACCCAGAGTCATAGAATCATCAACAGAAGTTGAACCTCAGAGGGAAGGCAGGAGAGGGTGGATGGGAAGAGAACAACCTATGAACTTGTATGCATATATGCATAGCCTATGGATACAGACAGTGGGGTGGTGAGGGCCTGGGGGAGGGATGTGTAGGATGGGAGTGGGCTGGAAGAGGTTAATAGGGAAAAGGAGAAACTATGTAATACTTTCAACAATAAAGATATTTTATTAAAGAGAAAAAGAAAGAAAAGGAAACAGGGCTGGAATTGGTCCTGGGAATTGAATGCAATGCCAGGAAGGAAGGATTCTTAGGGGAAGTTTAGGTCTTAATTAAGGCAAGAAGGTAGATGGAATTTGAGGGAAGAGATGGAAGATGACTTGGGAGTTATTTTCAATAAAATACATTTCCAAAAGGCCCAGAGTAATAGGTTGGGTTGTGGGTATTTGGAACAGTGGGCAATTTATTCAAATTACAGGATGAATGAGGGTGAGTAGCCTGCATCAAAACTTAAAAGTTGATCATATTTAAAAATTTTCTCTTTTAAGCCTTGTTTGATGCACTATCCTTTATTTCCCCATGCCTGGTCTCATGGTCACTCTCCCCATTTGTTGATGCACCAGGCCCTGTCTTCTATGACACCCTCCAAGCTCGAGTAGGTCATTATCCTTGTTACTTCACTGTCCACATGGACAAGCCATTCAAAACCCTTGCCTTCCTCATTATTGAACTTTAACAACAAATGTTCATTGAATGCTTTCTTTGTTCCCTGTACTATATTAGGTAGTGTGTTTAGAGTGATTTTAAAAAATCATGCCTCCCATCTTCAGTAAACTTACTGTAAACTGAGTGACATTAACAATAAATATGAATGCAATAAGTAGAAATTATATGTATAATTGTATCTGTTTTAGTATCAATATTATAAAAAGATAAAAGTACATAAAAGAGATAATGCTGGAATCTAATTCAGGCAGATGCACATTAAAAGAAATGCTCTATGGAAGTAATATTTAATCCAAGACTAGAGAGTAAGTAGTATTTTCCAGATGAAGAATAGAGAGAATAATTGAAAAACTACCACATATAAGTGGGGTACAATGTTCTTGGGAAACACAATGACTTATGTAACCACATTCATATTGGAAATTTAAAAATTTAAATGTAAGTCAGATATCAGGTAATTCTAGAAATGGCCATGACAGCTAGTGGAGAAAAATAGAGTCAAAGT